TTACGTTTAACGTTTACTTAGTTTAGTTTTATTTAGTTTAGTTTAGTTTATTTACTTATTATTACTTACTTTACTTTACTTTTGTTTGTTAAATGACTTTCTTTTTTCAAACCTTTTTCTTGGATTCCCAACTCATTCACAGTCAAATATTAATTCCGAATTTCATGTCACTGCTTCTGTACTATAACAATTTATCCATGTGTGTGACACCCCTTTTGTCCCGTTCTGTTCACCCTTCTTCCCTCGCAGTTTATCAACAGAAGTGGAAAGTCTTCTACCATTTCTTCTCTGCCCACTGTCCCTCTCTTATTGGATTTCCTCACCTGGCTGTTCCATCATAGTGCTTCTGTTTCATCCATTGTGGGTTATCGTGCAGCCTTGTCCAATACCTTCCATTCTTCCATATACCATTCTGTGTTTTCTTCCACTACCATTTCCCGTATTATTGCATTCCTTCTGGATTAGTCAACCTTCCTGTCAGGCAGTCCTTTCATATTGGGATGTCAATATCATTTTCCACTTCCTTACCCTCTGCCCCCCAGTGGTTCAGCGGTATATCTGCGGACTTACAACACTAGAAACTGTGTTTCAATACCCTTGGTGGGCGGAGCACAGATAGCCCATTGTGTAGCTTTGTGCTTAACTACAAACAAATAAACCCTTACCCTATCTCAGTTTGATCCTCTGGCCTCTTGTTCCATGTATCACCTATCCCTTGAGAGTAATTTCCTTCTCCTCTTGGCCTGTTTGCATCATCATACCTGAGATCTTTGCCATTGATGTTTCGTGTACTCTTTTCTATTCCACATATGTTCTCCTTTATTCAGATTGATCATTCCTACTCAAAACTGTGGCAGCTCTTGGGAATTTTTTGTTTTTGCTGATTTCCCACCCCTATTCCCACTCTGGTCCAGATAGACTTCTATGTCCTGTTTGTGCTTTCCGTTTTTATATTGTCCATATGACTAAAAAGGATCCATGATTTCTGATCCTGCCTCTTCATTCACTGGAACCTTTCCTCACAGCATGATCTTTCCCCTTCTACCCTGACACGCTGGTTTCGTCAGTTTATCAGTCTAGCATATACCTCCTTGTCTCATCAAATATTGCATCTTACCTTCTCCCAGGCATCTCATTTTCATTGTCCTTTGAAAGAGATTCTTTGGTCAGGCATGTGGAATACCCCTCATAAGTTCATCTCCCACTACCTTTGTTGGGTAGCAATTTCTTCCTGATTCAGGTACAGTCTTCCACATTTCACCATACTTCAAACATCAGTTCGACTGTGACTTGGTAACTTTGCTTTTCCTTTCTTCCTCTTGAATACAGAAGCATGTCCCTATTCAGTCGTGGATCCCACTCAGTGGCGAGTGTTTCCTATCCAGGTATACTTATTGCAGAAAATTCTGCACTGTACTGCCTACCATAAATCATACTGGGATGTATTATCTACCATTTGTTGGCCCAAGTGTTCCACCTCCATGCAGTGGGACCTGTGAGTTGATGTTCCACAGACTGAGGTTGTGTGTGGCATCTGCCAGTACTCCATGTGATCCAGTTTATGTGCAGTTCTATCCAGGGGATGATGATGTGCAGGGTCTGCATATATCCCATGCACTCCTATTTCTTGTGTATGGCCCTGTGGATGATTTTGTGAGGGGGGGGGGTGTATTGGACAATACATACCCGTGCCGACTGGTTTTGGACTGGAGTTGACCTGCCAGGTATGGTCTAACATGCCCTAGCCATTCTACACTATGGGGCACATCTGTGTTTTTCTATCCATTAATAGGCATGCTTCTTGTAATTTCCACCCAGTTGTGTGACACTTATTACCACATTGGGCGAAGAGTATACCTGGCCAGATATGGTGCAGTCTCCCACGGGTGTTCCTCTCCCAATGGAGGTCACTCTCCTTGAGTGTTCTTTGAATACTTTCAAAGGACACTCTTCTATATCACTTGCACTGGTTCCTTCACATTTTCAATGTGGGATTTTAGCTATTATGTGAGAGGAGGTAAGTTATCATATCGGAAGTTATTATTTTTCTACACTGAAAATCTATTTACAATAGGTACTTGCCTCATCTCATCCTTCCTCCCCACTACCAGTGCTTATTTTCTGCCTAATCTCAAAGACATTGTTAGGTTAAATTGAATAGAGGGAGTAACCTGTAGCAGGAGGTTGTATCACACTCCTATTGGTGAAGAATTGTCACATGATAATTTACATGTGAAGATGCAGTAAATCACATTGATCATGGGGTAGATGGGAGTTTCAAGGCTGGTAGCAAGCAAAAAATTTTGCATATAGAGGGGCAGCAATGAACAATAAAATTTTCAGTGTAGTAAAATAATAACTTTTTATATACATTTCAATTAAATTGAACTTTCTTAGTAGCTATAAAAACATGAGGAGGATCATGGAAACAAACTACAATTAAACCTTATCCAGAGACGTTGAAAGTTGGTTATAAATTGTCTTTAAAACTGTGTGTTATTAAACAGTGGAAACAGAAACTTAAAGAATATATTTATTTTTAACATTTGTTACATTGTTTCAGTGGTTATGGCAGAAACTGTATAAAACTATGTGATTAAACCGTTAAAACTAATCTAAGACATGTGTATTGTTAGCATATGTTATTCTGTTTCAGCGGTTATGGCAGAAATAGTGGCTGTGAAGGGAGAAATGCAAGCATACAAAGCCAAGGAAAAAAAAGCCTATGCTAAACTGTTCCATTGACACTGAGTTCTAGTACCTTAAAATTTTTGGCACCTGGAACAGAAAGGTAAATAGGTGTACCATGGATAAACTGGTATTTTATTATAGTAATTGTAGACCAGAATTAAGAACGTGTCATTAGTTGTCCCAAGAGTATACTGATGTGCAATGATAATACTGAGCCAGGGAAACAAAATTCTTTGGTGACATGCTTCTAAATGTAATTATGCTAGTTCTGTGAGAAAGACAAATTGGAAAGAAAAGTATATTGATTTGTTCAAGGAGGAAATAATTATTATGAAGTATTACAAAATCAAGAAAAGTTTTAAGATAATTCAGCTGATCCAGTACTGGTTAAAAGGCTATTGACCTCGACCAAGAAGAAAGAAAAAAACATTATGGTACTGAACTTATACCACAGATGAACAAATCACCTAACCCTTAAAGGAAGAGCGAGATTTTGTTAGGCTGCTTTTATAAACTTATCCTTGCAGATATAGTTCTAGAGGCCTACAAACAACTGTAGTTATTCAGAAAGAATACTAACCGGTGATAAACTTATTTGTAATTATTTGAAAATGTAATACTTACACTTTTTGTTTGCATGACAATTCCATCCTTATTCAGTGATTAAATTGGGACAGAATGGTCTGGAACAGTGCTCTGCCTCTCGAGGAATCTTGGCCATCAGTGTTCGTGGTCTTCTGATTGGAATGTGAAAGTGGATCACAAAAGGGAGTTCCACCATTTTCAAAATCCTAATTTAACCACTGCTCTTATTAACAGTTGGAAGCTCTACAATGGAATGAAAGTCTGAAAACTGATCAATATGTGTCAATTTAATCTCCTTAATGTTTGGTAAGAAAGCTTTGTATCCATCACTCTTTTACTTCAAAATCATAATAGAAACACAGACTGATTATTAGAAAGGAATGCACTGTTTATTGCAAATAGACAAGTGGGCAGCTTAGTTACCTATTCCTCTCAAGAGGTAGTAACTTGTAACAGCAATAAATTGTCACTGATATTTTTGCTCTATTGTATATTATAGCATGTAGATAGAACATTTGATCCTTGATGATTTTTCGACGTTATGGCTTAATGAAAGTTTTACTGATATTTTCCCCAATCCTTTTATACTTTAATACACACAATTGTTAGTTGAAGGTAAGTGCTAATATAGCCATTTTAAAAGAATATTGTATGTGAAGTGAACAGAGTGATTAATATATTTTGTGTATCTAACATAATTTTCTCTCTGTTTCAAAAAAACAAAGGGAATAGTACAGTAAGTTCTTTCATTAAATCTTATTGTCATACCTTTTCTTCTGATAAAGACATTCCAAATTAAAAATATGTTTAACACATTAAAAAGTTTATTGAGAGTTGCTGGTTGGAAGCATGTTGAAGTATTGTGGTATAACCATTGGCAACACATTTATTAATATATATGGCAGTACACCAGAAAGAAAATACAGTTTTAGTATTCAGCTGTGATTTTTATTTGTATGAAAATTCCTAAATGTATTATAACATAAAGTTTTAATTACCTGTTGAGACATTGACAACTAACACTAGGCTTCAGAAAGTTTGTTTATTTACAACTTTTTTTAAATATGGCAGATCGGCCTTAAATTAGCATATTAAATATAATGTAAAGAGTAATCATAAAACATGAAAAAATATAAACTTGGTATTTTCTCAATCTGGAAATGTTTGAATATTTACATTGTATCACAGTCAGATTCATCTACACAGTTCAATTCTCGAACATTTAAAGGTTAACTTATTTTTATGTGGTTTATTGGCAGGACTTTAACTTGGTAAGGCAGAGGATAGTTTGATAGACTTGTACTCATTTTATCAGTAGAAAAATTCAATTATCGCACAGCTTAAAGCAGCTGGAGAATGAAATGGGTATTCATCCTATTCCGTACAAAGACATAACCAATGTCAAGTTGCTGTAAGTAGCGTCTATGGATTGGTAACTGCCGTTCTTGTACACTAGATTGGCTATGAAAAGCAGCAGGTAGGAGTGGTGTTCTTTGAACGTGACAGCTTTACAACGGAGCCTTTTGTAATGGAAATTATGCTGCAGGGCTATTTTCAAAATGCACCATCATGATATAGAGCATGCCCTGACATGGCAACAACGACTTTAAAGACATAGTAAAACTCTAAAATCGTTTTAATGTAGAGTACTTAATCCTTTTTATAACCTTCTCAATAATATACAAATGAAAATAACTTTTATCCCTAAATAACTATTTTCTAATGGCTGATTAGTTATTTTATAAACAGAATTTTTCAGTTAAATTTCTTGATCTTTTACAGTAGTTTAACATGTAGCAATCACTTTTCAATTAGTTCATATTACGAAAAGAACACTCCATACAACCATCACGGATAAGTCTGCTACCATTTTAAAATTTGTTTCCGTTATTCAGTGCCACCAATAAAGATGAGACTTGTGAAAAACACATGAAAAGTTAGTAGCGCCATCGTTTGAGAAGTGAAATAATACAGTAACAATGTGCTATGAAATATGACAAAGTTCAACCTTATTTACTTCTTTGTTTCAATTGTTAAAATTACCTTAACGTACATATGTAACAATTATAGTTTCGAAATGTGTGATGACATTTACTAGGTAATTTTTATTTCACGAATTTCTTTTTAATGTGACTTTTATTAAGCTTTCAAACGTTGTCTTATGGAAATACGTTTTGACCCATCTTTATAAAATTTTAATGATACTCTTTTGCCATCAAATTTCAAAGCTTATTTGAGGGTTCTCTTTTATGCATAAACATAAAATTTCTATATGATTCATATATTTTAGTTCGAGGTAATATCAAACTGATGTCGCTATAACACGCTCTGTGTTTTTGATAAGTTAAAAAGTGTCTAAATAAGAGTACCTATACATATAGTGCTTTACCTTAATTTTTGAAACCTCTACGTGTTGCAGAGAAGGGCTTAACTTCGCTCGTGGATATGCAAAACTAGGATTACTAAGAATTTTATATTTTCTTTACCACGACATTCACGAAAAACAAGCATTGTTTCATCTTATTAATATTAAATTACTTTAAACCTTTGTCTAAAAATTTTGAAATATCTTTTAAATTCTTGAAAAGTGGATGAACCATAAAAGAATCGATCATATTTTATTTGTATTGGAAAATCAATCTGATGATTAAATATTGTATAAAAAGAGTAAAGCCATGCAATGTCTTATAAGAACGTTCGTATATAACCTAAACTTACACTCGTAGTAGCGTCAGTAATTCTTATCAATAACTTATGATAAAAAATGAGGTAATTTTATAGATAATTATTAAAAAATAACTTGACACAATAGCACGAAGGGAAGTTACCATTGACAATGATTTCTGACAGAATTCG